GCCCGCGTTTGGGCTGGAGAATCGTTGCAAAGAATAGAATTATCCTGTGGCCCTTCAGCCCTTTGACTTTCTCTCCACCACCTATCGTATTCTCTGGTCGGCTCGCCTCCTTCGTGTGTGTCTACGCTTGACCGTAATCTTGCCTTGCACGCAGCTCCCCCCAGCCATGGCTATCGCGCTCTTGATCGGTTACGAGTATGAATAGGTGTGCTTGGCTTCTCCCACTCTCCTCACTCACTCATCACCCCGCGGTTTCCTCCCTTTGGCAATCTCCTGCTGCGAGGGTCCGAGGGTTGCTGATCACAGCCTTCTCGATAGTTGGCAGTCCTCGAGCAATGCTGGCGACGAGCTGGCGTCTGGTGCACAACCTCTGAGCAGCTGGCCGGATCCCTATCACAGCAATAGCAACCAAATCTCACCCCGTCGTCGCGAGCATGCGGTGCAGCCTCCGCCTTTGACAACAGCCTTGAACAATAGTCAGTTCCAAGGCCTTGGACTTGGTTTAGGGGCAGCATATTCCCCTGCGCCTCTTTCGACGACTTCTCTGTCGAGCCCGTTCACCCACGGCCAGTCTCCTGTAGTAGCTTCTCCTGGAGGATTTGCCCTCGGATCTTCGCCAATGTCGTCCCGACAGTATAACGTGCCCTATAACCCTCAGGATTGGGGGCCGGTGGGACATACCTCAGTCAATCCGGGGCAGCAGACCTATTCTCAAGCAAATAACATGCTGAGAATTGTGCCCCAGCCACGTTCATCGGGGCCTCGCTCAGGTCTGATCCTCGTTCTATATTCTATACCCCTCTCCATCATTGTAGCTATAGATGTTGTGTACGATTCCACATGGAGTTCAAAAAGGACTAATGTGATCGTTGCAGATGTATCATTGTCGCCGCCACCTCCTCCATACTCGCCGCCAAGTCATCAGCACCAGCAGCAACCCAGAGATAATGCCAGCCATAACACCTCCTCCTTGGGCTCGACATCCCCGAGTGCCACCTCTTCGAATACAGGAGCATTGCGCTCGAGCATGGACCAAGCCTCGGAGTATCAACAGCGTCGTCTTCCACGGGCGCGCCCGCTATCTATGTTCGTAGGAAACGAACCTGGCCGGAACCGACGAGTTTCACTTCCTCCTCCACCCCCGCTACCGCAAAGTCTCGCAGGGTCCAGATCATCGTCTCGTAGTAGAGGAGAACCTTACCAGGACCAGGCCACCGCATCAATAGGGTCGAGACCGTATGTCGTCGTCTCACCGGAGGGTCTGCGGGCCTCGCAGTCAAATAATGGCAGTCATTTGCCAGGATTCGATGGCATGGACGATACAGGCCGTCCTCCCGCCTCACGAAGAGCCGTGTCGGCGGGACCCGTGGTGAGCAGCACGAGCTCATCCCGAGCTCACAGTCAAACCCGGAGTGGATCACCTCCAACACAAGGCTGGGAGCCAGGAATGCCCCTCCCTCCACCTCCTCCCGGTCCTCCGCCGAGCACAAGGTCCCAGAGTGTGAACGGGCTGTCGGATACGTCGTCTGCGCGCACTCAGCAAGTCCCTGCGAGAACCGGGAAAGCACGGGCGCCTCCGCCCCTGGGAACCACCCTCGATAGCATACCACCAACACCTGCTGGCTGGGTGGATGAGACCATCTCAGTAGTCAAGCCAAAGCACGAGAAGATGCCCCTGAGCATAGACACTATGAATACTACATCTGGCAGCAGTTCAACATCGCATGATACTTCTCAGACAGCACAAAGCTCTGTCAGCGGCGGTCTTTTTCGAAGCCCGGCTATCAAAGATGCCAACGCCAAGGGAATTCGCGAGAGACGAATAGAACGCAGAAACCGACAGAGTCAAGTCCTAGATGATCTCAGTGCGGTGTCCATGAGCAGTAACCCATGGGCCGAAGCACTGGAGAAAATAAAACCGTCCAACTTGGTCTTAGAAGACACAAATGGTGAATCGGAGCGAACACCACACCAGGTTTCAGCCAAGATCACGCCACGAAGTACGCGCAGTGTGGGCTCCGAGATGCAGCAGCAAGTTCCGTCAAGATCCAGAGCGTCTTCTGGAGGCTTGTTTTCGAATCGATCCCCATTTTCGACCCCTAAAGCTGAGCCGAGCCCGCTAGCAGCCCCGGCTGGGTATGCACAGACTCCGCCATTCTCACCAGGTACGGAAAGATCGAAGCGAACGTCGCCAGCGCTCCCGTCCAAAACTCTTCCAACACCTCCACTCCAACCGAGACAGGAACGATCGCCATCTCAGTCGAGAGCCAAAGACGAGCGTCCAGTGTCGCATATCCTGCACTTGCCGAATGACAGTGTTCCCGCCGTATCGCCTCTAGCACCACGCCGCCTCTCAGCCCAGCAAGGCCCCTCTCTTGACTCGGTCATCAAGCGCAATGATGAGTTCCTCCGAAACGCTACGCAAAGGCATCAGCTTTTCATTGAGAAAGAAGCAGATGCGGTGGACGAGAAGGAAGCACTTCAATTGTTCACGGAGTTCATTATTGCGGAATCTCAAATCCGACGCGAGAAGTATGCTAAAGTCTGGAACACAGGCTCCTTTGACGTGAATGAGGTGGTCCGGCAACTGTTCGAGTTGCCACCGAAGACACCACAGACTACCCAAATGGCTCCTACTATTGTTCCTGTAATGCCCCCTAAGAGGGCATCCAACGCAGCAGTCCCCAAGCCCAAGCTGGACATTCCTCAATCTCGGCCTGAGTCTGCTTGGTGGAATAATTACCAGCCGTGTCTCTCGCCGATTGCAAGCCTGGGTCTCAGCAATGATGAGATGAGCTCCCGAGGACGTGCTCCCAGTCGATGGTGGGAATCCAAAACTGGCTCTAGTAGTGAAGGGGGGGAGAGAAGAGTGCAACGCTCAAAGAGGGAGAGCAAGTACATGGGTCTGCCGCGTGAGGCCCTGCTCCTCGAAGAAAGCCAGAGTCTTTCGGGGAGTGGCATTGGTGGTGACCAGGATTCAACCGGCCAACGCATGACTTACGGTCCAGATGAATACCCCCCTGAAAAAATTGGGTGGCATGAGGAGCCTGAAATACCGGTTCATCCGACCCGCAATGGCATCGGCCGCCTCGAACGGCATGAAGAGAGGTCGAAGATGGATGTTTCGAGGCTTATTACCCTACCGCCACCTTACCCCAGACACTATCCTGCTGTGAATAATAGTCATCCCGACCTTGTAACTTATCGGACGTTGGTTAGATCCATCACCGATATATCCGAGATCAAAGCTACTCGGCAACGCCATGAAACCGACATGGCTGTCCTATTTCAGAAGCACCAACATCGAGTCAAGGACGGTCGTCGACAGTTTAAGGCCAACATCCAGAGCGAGATCCAACAAGGTAGTATCACGTTCGCGGAGGCCGCCGAAGCCGAAGCAGCGTTGTTAGTGGAGGAAGACGCCCTCGAGAGAGAGGTTATGCAAAGACAGTTAGATGATTTTCAGGAATCGGTTTTCAAGCCGATGCGCGCAATACTGAGAGACCGGATTGAACGGGCGACATCCTGCATTGACGAGTTGCGCGGCAAGCTATTTGACGACGCACGGTGTGGGACGCCTGACCAGACACAGGAGGAAGGTGATGAGAAACCAGAACTGCTGGAGAAACTCACCCAACTCAAGTGGCTCTTCGAGGCCAGAGAAAACCTACACCGCGAAGTCTTTGAGCTCATCAGTGATCGGGATGAGAAGTACAAGGCGGTGGTTCTGCTACCATACAAGCAAGCTGGGAATGACGAGAAGGTACTTGAAACCCGTGAGTTCTTTCAGAAAGATGCATTGGACCGTCGAGTCAATCATGAGGCCAGTGCCTTGGCTCGTCTGGAGTCGTTTTTGGACGTGATCGAAGAGAACGTGGCCCGAGGGGTGGAAATTCAACTGTCTGCGTTCTGGGACATTGCTCCGCCTCTTCTCGCGCTGGTCCAGCAGATCCCGGAGGATGTCCGTGGCTTTCTCATTCAGATCCCCGTCAATGAGTATGACGAGAATCCCAGTTACCACCGGCATCCGCTGCAATATCTCTACACGCTGGTTTCGCACGCGGAAAAGTCCAGCTACCAGTACATTGAGTCCCAGATCAACCTGTTCTGTTTGTTGCACGAGGTTAAGTCGGCGGTGATGAAAGCGAACTGCAGTCTCGTGGAAGCCGAGCGCATCTGCCAGGGCGAGGCGGAGGCCAAGGTCCTACAAGAGCTGCAAGCGCTCAGAGCAGACGAAGAACGTACATTGACCGGTGACCTGAAGGACAAGGTCGCTACAGTGGAAGGCCAGTGGGCTGAAGCGCTTGGGAGTCAGATCCAAGGATTACGGGAGCGGGTAAAGGAGCAACTCATTGCAGAGAATGGGTGGGAAGATATTGAGCAGTTGGAGCAGGCATGAGGGTTTAAGTGATGGGCAGGACCCAAATTGCTTGAATTGTTTGTTGTTTGTTGGATTTTCTCTGGTTCTGCTTTATTGCTATAAGATACCCCACATTCGCTCGTTACTGAATTGATTGATTGACCGAGTATGAGTGCAGAGGCAGAATGACAGCAATTAGGCGACGTGGCCAGACCGCCTTCCCACGTGACTCAACTACCCACTTCTCCGGCATTGAAATTAAATCTTCTAGAGCTTTCCTTCCGAATCCTCAACCTAAACTCCTCTCCGTAGAAAAACCAGACTGTTCCCCTCCCACGGTACCTTTCCTTGGTCACTCTCGCCTACTTTTCATTGCTCCGGTGGACTTTGATTGATCTATCATCTCTACAGCGTCTTGATTCGGGACGTTTTGTCTCCTAAACTGTGAGTTGCCCTGAGTTTTCACTCGTTTCCTTCATTGCATTCCCCCCTCCTTCACCCCTCCGGCCATTGGCCTCGTGGACAAGGACAAGGGACACAAAACTTTTCATGATGAGACATCATAGCTGGCACCAGTCAGACGGGGATATTTACTCTATCCTCCATGCTGATTAGCTTGCGATCCGGAAACGCTAACTGGATCCTGACATTCTTTCACACCGTTCATGCTCTATGCTCTTGAAACACTGGTTGGAGATTGATGCTAATCATTGTGTCTCCTCAGAACCCTAGCCTCCCTCCATTTCAGTGGGAAACCAAAAACCAAGCAGTTTGAGACTCGCTAAAATTTCCCACACTAGCGAAGTCTTGCCCCGCAATAGAAGCAGCTTCTTCCTGCAACCCAAGTCATTAGACCAATCCTTAAATAAAATAAAACAATCAACATGGTTCTGCACAACCCCAACAACTGGCACTGGGTGAACAAGGACGCCTCGGGCTGGGCCAAAGACTACCTTAAGGAGAAGCTCGTTGTTGTCTCCGCAGAGGACAATGGCGCCTCCGCCAAGATTTCCAACCTGCTGTCGATGGATGGCGATGTAGACGTCAGCCAGCGGAAGGGCAAGGTCATCACCTTGTTCGACGTCAAAGTGCAGCTGGAGTATGAAGGTTCGTAAATGACAACAAGAGTGCTTTCTTTCCGAGGCGCGACTAAGACCTTTTGACAGGTAAGACCAAGGACGAGGAGTCCGTTAGTGGTACCATCACCATTCCTGAGGTAGCCCATGATACCGAGGAAGATGAGTACGTCGTATGTTCCCTATCAGCCGCCCCCATTGCCGTCCTGAAGGGGGTTGACTGACCGTCTGGGCTACTCAGTTTGAAATCGAGAACTACTCCGATTCCCCCTCCAAGCAGGCCGTGAAGGACCTTGTTCGCTCCAAGCTCGTCCCCCAGCTCCGCAAGGAACTCGCCACGCTTGCTCCGGCTCTGATCACCGAGCACGGCAAGGACCTCCAGCACGCCCCTGGTGTCAACCCTTCCAGCGGCTTCGCTGCGCCCAAGTACCACCCCCAAAACAAGAAGGAGACCGCCGCCCCCGTCGCCACCACCACCACCACTAGCAACAAGGTCTCGGTCAACACCACCACCGTGACTGCCTCAGACGAGTTCCGCACCACCGCCGAGGAGCTGTACAACACTTTCACCGACCCTCAACGCATTGCCGCGTTCACCCGCGGTGCTCCCCGTCAGTTCGAGGGCGCCCACGTCGGCGGTAAGTTCGCCATCTTCGATGGCAATGTCAGTGGCGAGTACGTCAAGCTCGAGCCCACCGAAATCACACAGAAGTGGCGCCTGGCCCAATGGCCCGAGGGTCACTTCAGTACGCTCGACATCAAGCTCGACCAGAACGATGTCGACGGTGTGACCCAGATGCGCGTGACCTGGACCGGCGTCCCCGTCGGCCAGGAGGACGTGACCAAGCAGAACTGGGACGTGTACTACGTCCGCAGTATCAAGCAGACTTTCGGGTATGTGCTATGAGATTTCTCCCTCCCTGTTTCCCTTCCTTACAAGGTCCTGTGTACACCAGGTCCTCCCCAGCGACCTCTTCTTCTGGAAAACAGCTACTGATCGCCTTGGTTGTCCTCTTGCTGGGTTTAGGTTTGGCACTATCCTCTGAGCACATGCATGGATATGTGAAGACTTTTTAAATTCCTCATCTGGGAACACTATAATTGGGTAGAGAGCGGATGATCTAAAGCCATAAACCTGTCCTTATCAATGCGCGTCGTCAATTTCGTTTTTGTTGTGAGGCGTTTGGGGGGTTCCTGGGCATAAAGCAGGCATTATGCGCTGCGGCACCGTCACCATACCTTGATCATACCTTCCTTTCTTCCGGATATATACACACGTACCCTGTACCGTCGGCGGCGAGGGGGGAGGGGGCGCGCGCGCACGTGTTCGACGAGTCCACGATAGACAGACGATGAATAGTACAGTACATATTTCCCTGGCATTAGTTCCTTGTAGTAAGGTACTTAAGCGTGATATGTAGATACGATACCCTAGTCCCCAATGCAAGATGATATATGTTTGAATATATTTTATCACTACGTGTAGAAGGAGAAACATACATTTGACTGCGTTGCATAGTATTGTTTTTCTCTACCCTAGCCCTTCGTTGCCTTCTATAGTCGGCCATTTTCACGTCATTAATTGGATTCGTAACACACAAGCGAGAAACTCAGTTCGAGATGTTTACAGAGTCTTCTCGATCATCTCGATACCGTAGTCCTCCTTGAGGGCCTTGATGAGAGGGGTGCAGATATCCATGGTCATGGGAGCGATGACACCCTATCAAATACCGGTTAGCCTCCACTCAGCTTTCAAATACTACTCCCTGCATCAAGTGCAGAAGAGGGGGGGGGGGGGGGAAGGAAAGGGAAAACCAACCTTCTGGTTAATAGTGCCATCGAGCACCAACTTGACCGCGACACCGCAGGGGACGCCGACCGTCTTGGCCATGGCGGAGTAACCGCCGGGGACGCCGTACTCGCACAGGGTGCTGGTGCGGGTCTCCTTGCTGCCGTCCTTGTGCTCGATCTCGAAGCGGTGCTGCAGCATGACGAGGTCGCGCTCGTCCGCGGCGTACTGCATCTTCTGCTCGAGGGTGGCGCACAGCGTGTCGAGCGGGTTGCCGCGGGGGCTGGTGGCCTCGTCGGAGAACAGGCCGATCCAGCGCAGGCCGGAGATGATGCGGTTGCGCTCGTCGTTGTTGGCGAACTGCGTCTTGCTGGCGATCGCCCACTCCAGGTCCTTTTCGGCGGCGGAGGTGGCGCCCAGGATCTTTTGGGTGGCCTCCTTCCAGCTGATCTTCGCGCCGGGGGCCAGGTACTCCTGCGGCGTGTCGTCCAGGAACCCGATGTCCACCAGGACCTTGATCATCTCGGGAAACCCCTGGTACCGCAGCGTGCCCCGGATCACCGTCTGCGCCTCGGGGATGCTGTACCGCTCGCGGTACGGCGTCGAGTCGCGGTTCGGGTACGCTACGAACGCGAACCCCGGGTAGATGAAGTACGGCTGCGCGGTCGCCATGAGATCCGGCCCCGCCACGCTGAACTCCTCCCCGTCCCGGTAGAATTTGGCCGCGTTGCGCAGCGCCAGCAGCACGCCCCGCGACGACCACGAGAACTTGTAGCCCAGCGGGTTGTTCGAGCACTCCGGCGCCGGCAGCCCGCCGCAGTAGCTCAGGAAGCTCGTGATCTTGCCGCCTTCGGCGTGCACTTCGGAGATCGTCTTCACGGCGTACAGGTGGTCGATTCCCTTTTGTTTTTTTCTTGTGGTCAGTACTTGGTTGGTGGGATGATGCGCTGGTGATATTGGGGTTCGGAAGGAGTGGGGGGGGGGGGAGGGGGATTCCGGGTTCGGGGCAAAGGGGATTGGTTAGGTTGTACTGGGGAAGAGTTCAACGCACAGGATCCAGACCGATCTCGTTCATGACGACGATGCCGGCCTCCTTGGCGGCCGCGTCCAGCTCCATCATGGCCGGCGAGACGTACGAGGTCGTCACGACGTGCTTCTTGGTGCGGATCGCCGCCTTGATGACCTGCGCGTGGAAGGTGTACGGGATCAGCGAGATCACCAGGTCGACCTTCGCCAGCGCCTGGTCGAGGGCTGCATCGTCGTTGACGTCCAGCGAGATCGCCGTCGTGTTCGGGAACCCTTCGCTGAGTTTCTGGGCCGATTCGAGCGTGCGGCAGGCTTGGAGGGGTTTAGTTTTTCTGATCCTTTTAGGAAGGGAGGGGGTGCATGGAGGCATGGCTTACCGACGGTGACGTGCACGTCGGCCTTGCTGAGGACCTCGACGGTGGGCTTGGTCACTGTTCCCGGGTGTCAGTGTCAGTGTTCATGTCCGTGTCGGTGGCAAGTAAGTGAGTGGGTGAGTGAGTGAGTGAGTCACCCCGCATTGCGGAGAGGGTAAAGCATACCGAAGCCGGAGCCCAGCAGGAGAACCTTGGAGCCTGCGATAGCCATTGTGAGAGAATAGAGACGATCAGTGGGAAGGGAGGTGATGATGAAGATGCGAAGAAAAGATAGAAAGAAGGAGAAGAAAAGTCAAAAGTAGGATCGCCTGGTCATTGACCTCAGGGTTACTACTGACTGTCGCTGCCACACCACCTTTCCCCGCCGCCATGAGTCACGTGCCACCCGGTATCGGAGCCCGGCGCATCCACGCATTTCTATTTGCTGGTGCCACTGACTCAGGGAGATAAGACCCGCCCTATTTCTACACCGTATGAGTGATGATTTGCACCGAGTCAGTGGATCACTGCATGGCTTGTACTTGTACTTCTACGCTTGCTTGTATGCTGCATGTGTACTGTACGTACTGTACTCAGTATCTTTGGTGTATGTGTGGTCTGTCTGTCTGTATGCATGCGTATATACACGCCACGCCCATGGTTCACTTTTCTACCTCTACTGCGCTATAAACGAGTACCAAGCGAATAGGAAAGAAACAAAGGGGAATATCAGTTCCAACTGCTGCTGATGCGTCAAAAAAAAAAAAAAAAAGCAACTCCAAACTCCTGAGGGTGTTCTTGATGATATATGTGCAAATCGCAAATCCGACTACAAGCCCTTGACCTTGCCATTGCTCTCTTCGGTGGACTCGTAACTCTCCCCGTCGAAGTCGCCTTCCGCGTCCGGGTTCTTCTTCGCCTTGGAGATCCGACGCTGCCAGCCCAGTAACACCGGCAGGAAATGCCACAGGTCGAAATCCGGCCACAGGACGTCGAGGAAGACAATCTCCGTCTCCTCGTCGCATTGCCAGAGCATGAAGTCGCTGAGCCGCTCCACGCCCGACGTGCGGACCAGGAGATCCAAGGGAGGATTGTCGCCCGTGAACATATGCTCGGTTAGCGTCTGCCGGGTGATCGTCTCGGGGGACATGTACACGGCTTTCTCCTTCCGCGGCGAGTTCTCCCTGCCGTTGGCTGCGTCCGTTTGCCCGCCCAGATGCAGGGTGGAGGAGGACGAGAATGAAGACCCGGACTCGTAGACCTGGTTCGGGAGGTTGTTTGGAGGGGCGCCGTCCTCGTTGGACGATTCCGACGCGGTCTCGACGTCACTGGGCAGATCGTCCGCTTTCGTGGGCTGCGCGCGGGCTCGGATAGTCTGCGTGATGTGTGTCTCGGAGAAGGGCGTACGCTGGCTGGCGTTCGAGGGGCGGTTCGCCGGCAGCGGCTGGCTGTATTCCGACACAGTATCCCGGATGGCGCCCGTGATCTCGTCGCGCGAAGTGTACGGAAAGCAGATGTTGAGGATGCGCTCGCCGTTCCCGCTCGTCATGTCGACCGCCCGGTTGACGGCAGCCAGGACATCGGGCTTCAGCATGTCCAGTCGGCCCAACACCCGCACTTTGGCGCCATACCGATCCAGGATCTCTCCGTGCTGGGCCATCTGGGACAGCTTGACCCGCGCCATCTCCATCAAGGCGTCCACCTCGAACTTCGACCGCTTGAAGTTCTCGATACTGAAGGCATAAATCGTCACTACCTTAACTCCGCTCTTGTAGCATACTTCGAGGATCTAGGAGAAACCCAAAAAGAAAGTCAGCGAGAGATCAATAGCATGGATGAAGAACGGGACGACTCCGGAGCAAACGACGCACTCTTGCCAGGGCCTCGAAACCCATATTGTGCCCCTCCACGGTCTCGATGCCATGTGACCGCGCAAATCTCCGGTTCCCGTCCATGACGAACGCGATATGCTGTGGAACTGGACCCTGCTTGATCGCCCCAACCAACAACTCCCGGAGTTGCGCAATGACAAACTCCATTGGCGGAGAGGCCAGCAGCCATTTCCTGAACCGCGACAGGTGTATCGAGGTCGACATGGTCGTTCTCTGTTTCTGGCAGCACAAAAGCCGGTACGACGGAAGGAAGAGGGCCTCGGGATTTCGAGTTTCGCGACACGGACGGAGAAAGGGGATGGCCGAGTCGGTACTTGCGGCGTGTGGTCAGATTTCCCACAATTGACGGTACGATACACGGAGGATCAAGTTCGGAATCGAATCAATGGGATTGAGACTGGAGAAACTGCCAGTCCGCAATAGAGTTCGAAAAATGAGGTAGAAGAAAGTATCACAATGTGGTCCTGACCGATAGGACCGTGCCCGTCAGGCTACACTGTTTCTGTTTAAAGTGGGAAATTTCTGGTGGCAAAGCAGGCGGTCATCAGGCCACGCAACACACTCAATTGAGAAATAATGATGAAGTCAAGCTCGGAGTCAAACCAGGGAGGAGGAATCCGGGGGGGGGGGGAACCAAGCAATTGGAATAAGGCTGACCGACCGACCGACCGAGGCGAAGATAAATGAGCCAGCCTGGAGCCAAGGGGAGAAACACCGAAGGGGAAACCGGAAACGTAACCTGTATGTAGGCTGTAGGTAGGCGTGTGTGGGTCGGCAACAAACTGGAGGATCCGACGGCTTTCTCCACGTGTAAATCACCCTTCTTTCCACTGTCCACTTTCCATCTGCCTGTTCGGCCCCCCCCCCACGGATAGACAGGACTGTTCGGCCCCCGAGCATGTTGTCAGAATAAGAAGAAAGGTAAAAAAAAAAATATCAGCTTAAGACGTCAGTAGCTCTCCCACCCAGGTTGTGTGCCACTAAGTTGGGACTGATGTGGGTGGCTGCTTCTCTGCTGCTTCTAAGCTTCATCAGAGACACTTGCCGGCAGAAGGAATGCCTTTCTGAACCCTGTATGTACTGTAGGTTGGTATTGGATGTAGTATAGTGTATGTATCGTAGCATGTTTAATTTTAGTGTCTAGTATGTAGTATGCAGTTAACTCCAGGAAAAGTTCTAGAGGATTACCAGACAGATACTAACTATAGCATCGAACATTCTCTGCAGGATTAACTAGATTGCTAGGTGCAGCTTAGAGGCAACCTTGGCCAAGTTAGGGGTATAGGTATATCAATGCAGTGAGTAGGACAAGGCAACTGTAGAAAGCACACTGTTTATACAATCTGGAAAGAGTATTAGTATTCATATGACTTGGACAGAGATTGGGAGTTTCCCCGCCTGACGGCCGCCCCGCGGATCCAGTATTATTAGTATTACATGAACAATTCCCACCGGTGCTTTCACTGCCCGCAGTGCACTTCCACTCATCTCATCCTAATAATCAATCACCACTATCGGTCTTAACTGTACTCAAGCTGACTCTCCAGGCCTTTGAAAAGCAGACAAGCTCAGGGACCTCCTTGTCATATTCACTGGTTCATCTAGGCTCACTATTCACCTATACCTATCTTTATTGGTGGCTGTTTGGTCCGGTCCGGTCCCTGTCCGCAGTTTATCCTATCCTATTCGATCGGACTTCTAGAACTCGGATCTGATATACACTACCACCAACCCACAGACTGTTGCATAGCTGCTAGGGGATTATCAACCACGCACCCTAATTTATCTGTTCACCGATCTCAACCCCGCGACCTCAGGATCAACGGCCTGCCCCTGTGGCTTCCCGTCTGTCGGTTGTTTCAGCCTGGGTTGCCCTGGAGCTGGCTTCACATCCTCAGTCCTTTCTCTCGGTTGTTCCATCTACGCAAGTTGCTTCTGTACGTCCGAGCAACACCATAATCTGCAAGGTCAGCCTGTACAACCAGCCTTACTAGGCCATTATGTCGATCAAGTATGTATATGACTTTCGCATTCTCCGCTTGCTCATAGTTATTTGTCCGGAGGGGCAGCCTCCTGGGTTCCCCTACGCTGTCAACGTATGAGGGTTCGCTAGGCTTGACCCCGGCACCGGTCGCCTCTGCCTACCATCGATGATACTGCATTTACCGTTGAATCCTGTGTTATGATGTTCTTAGTCTGACCTGTGATTGCACAGCTGGGTGATGCTCCAGGACCAGGATGGCTTTGTCCGTCTGCCGCATGAGCAGCTGATCTATACATCTCCGCCTCGCACCAGCCTCGCACTACAGCCGCTGAGCTCATCCGGAGGCAAAAACTCATTTTCCATCCAAAGCAGTGCTGGTCGAGTCTTCTTAACAAACCAGCGGGTATTACCACCTCCTCACTTACCCTGCAGGGGTCTGGTCTGGGATTCTTGACTGACATAGGTTGGCAGGTTGTCTATATCCCGACACAGAAATCGCAGACCTTCCAGTCGTTCTCTGCGCCGCTGCTCAATGTTCATGATACCCACGTCACTGCTCCGTTCTTTGGGCCAAATGCTTGGATCGCCCTGGTCCAGCCAGTGTCGGGAGGCGGCATCCCTCCATCCTTGCCTGCTGTACAGGCCAAGGTGACTTTCAAAGAAGGAGGCGCATTCGACTTCCATAACCACTTCGAGCGAATCAAGGAGCGTCTACAGCAGGCGGTGGAGACCTCGCAAGCAAGCAGTCGCGGGGCCCGGAACGTTGACCTCTCCACGATTCATTTGGACGAGCTGCCTGCCTATTCTGGCCCCTCGAGCAGCGGTGCTGGGGAGGGTCAAGTTCTCCCGGACCAATGCATGAGTCCACAGAGTCAGCCTCATGCAGCAGAGGCGGATTCCAGCCTGGTGGAGCCACCGCCCGACTATGAGACGGTTCAGCAGCAAAGCGTGGCAGATGAATTGGAGGCAAGACTGCGCCGTGCCAGTTGATGAAGGCTTACGGTTGTGTATACGAGAAGAGAAGAGCGAAAGAAACAACCAATTCCAGATGGCTGGTATACTATCTTCTGGTTTTATGAGTTATGGTAATTCCATTCTGTAGTTCAGCGATTAGTCATCTCCCTTCCGACGAGGATGGGCCAATCATGGGTGCGATAATTGGCCTTTCGCCGGCGGCCGGGGCGTTCCGATTTTCCCAGACGGCAAAGGAAGTGCCAAAGCTCAAAACCGCCAACCTCATCCAAACTCGCTCGTTGCTGCCCACCGCACCACCACCACTACCACCCCCACACCTTCGCCCACCCTAGGCTCTCCCCGGTAGTCATCAATTGACCAGTTTCCTCCCCCCGCACACGAACACAATGGGTCTCGCCGACTTCTTCTCCGACGTCATCTCCTCCTTCGGCTTCCCCGAGGCTCAGGCTGAGGCTCCCGCCGAGTCCGTCGAGCAGACCAGCAACCAGGAGGCTGAGTCTTCCGAGGAGAAGCCCGCTGAGGAGGCTGCCGCTTCCAGCGAAGAGTCCACCGAGGAGTCCGCTGAGGAGACCCCCGCTGAGGAGTCTTCCGAGGAGGAGGAGCCCCAGGAGGAGGAAGAGGAGGAGGAGGAAGAAGAGGAGGAAGAGGAGGAGGAGCCCGAGGACATCAAGCCCAAGCTCGAGGAGGGTGAGTGAAAATACCCCTGGATCGACTTGATTACTGTATTTTGTCTGCGTTGAGGCTCGATGTCGGATTGAATCTGGAATTCCGCCGCGGCACAGGCTTGTCCTTGACATATCAGACAACCACTCAATTCCTGCCATTCGCCAGTCTTCCTGACGGGAAATGGTCAACCCAATACCCGCTGATTCAACGCCGTTGGTGCTGCTTCAACCTCGCGCAATTCAATGCTTGTCTCAGTCTAAACTGAATGGTTTTGCTGACCTTTATGCCTCCTAACTACAGAGTGCGCCAACTCCGCCCAGTGCGCCCCCTACAAGCACCACTTCGATGAGTGCATCGAGCGCGTAACCAAGCAGGAGGAGGATGAGGACTACAAGGGTCCCAAGGAGGACTGCGTTGAGGAGTGTAAGTCCATCTGTCTTTCCAGGATCCCATTCAAGGCGTGTGACTAATCATCTTTTTCTCCCTTTCACCCACTAGTCTTCCACCTCACGCACTGCGCCACTCAGTGCGCCGCCCCCAAGCTCTGGAAGCAGCTCGCCTAAACGGGCTACGACTTGCGAAACGATTACCTCCTCTTTTCCCTCCGCCGCGCGATGTGTCTTTTCGAAAATTGTCATGGCCACCGCTAAGCTCAGTCTCGATTGTATAACAACGACGGAATGGAAACCCTCGTGCGGTGCGAAATAGGGGAGAACGATCGCGTACCCAAGAAAGACAACCGTTTCCGTTTCAGGTCCAGAGTGTTGTATGATGGCTTTGATTTTTGTTGTTCCAGGGTGAAAAAAATGTGTCTGTCAACACTTGCCGCTGAACGACAGGTTTTGGAGATATTTGATTGTTTTTTTCACCTGCTACATGGATAGATGAACACGAATAGAAGGGGGAGAACCTACCTCTTTTCCTGTTCTTTTTCGTCTTATTGTGAGCTGGGGAGGAGGGAAACAGGGATTCTGGATCAAGAATCCCTTGCTGTGTATGTACAGATAGCTGGTCTCTGCCTGTTTGAACTGTGCTTTTATTATTTACTTTGGTCTCCTTTGTTTTTAGATGAATGTGAATTGTTCTTTCTAGATCGGGTTGGTGTAGTTTGATGTCCTTGCGGGCAGGACGTGTCTGTTCCCGTCTACCTACCTACCTCTTCCTGTGTTGTCCATCCACCTCCACGCTGATATGGCGCCTGTCTCTTCTCCACTCAACGCCGCAGTCATTACCACTGACAACTCTCAGCAGCACGAAGCCTTGTCTCTATTCACCACAGTACGCCTTCCATTCGTCCAAGACAGCATCCATCCAGTCGCAATCGAATACCAGCTCTGCCCACGCCGGACGGATAGCGGGCGCTTCTGCTCCGTGCACGCCCACCAAGGCAGAGGGGAGCTTGGCAAAGCCATGGCCGACTGAGCCAGGGCCGGGAGGTTCTTGGAGAACCTGCTTTAGCGCTGCTAGGGCATTATTTTCAGGGTGCCTCTACTGGTGTATCTTATGGAAGGTAGGTTATTAATCCTGGGGCATTGAAATGTACAGCATATCATTGCAGGCTCGCAGACTAAAATAGCACTAAACACTGACGGGAACATCCAGATCCCAGGGATCGCATGCAAAGTCGGGTATCGATCATATATTCATCATGGGTCGTGGTCCTCCTCTTCGTGGCCCATCTGCAAACTCCAGGCTTCAGATTCGGTCATGGAGGGCTCTGTGCCAGCCATGCGAGCCAGGCACACACACACATACGCACGCACACAACCCCTACTACAGCCGCTTCCTCCGCAAAATCACTGTCTCGAGGAGACCGACCACTTGAATCGGGACTTTCCTTTCTCGCCCGCACTGCCGGCTGTATCCCCGCGACGGCTCGCGTCCGCGTCGTTGTCAATGGTCTCATCATCGTCCCCGACGACCTCCCCCAGATCCACCCCGCGATCCACATCCAGCCGCCTGCGGCGCACGTCCCGGCCAAACAACCCGATGCACAGCGGCAGCGGGGCCGCCACGGCCGCCACGACGGCGGAGAAGATGAGCGCGTTCCGCATGTTCTCCGGCGGAGTGGCGTGCTTCCCGGCCTTGAGGGCGTCCTGCACGAGGATGAACACGGCGCCCAGCAGCTGCCCGCCCGTCCAGCAGAGGGTGCTCCCGACCTCCGGGGAGAACGGGTAGGTGATCTCGACGAGGAACTCGAGCACGACGGGCAGCAGGCCGAACGAGGAGGCGCCCAGCAGGGCGCACACGGCGTACGTGGGGCCAATGCCTGCGCTGCTGGCCGGGGCGAAGATGAGCCCGATGTACGAGGCCGCGACGATGGGGACCAGGATGCGGATCGTGGCCAGGTAGTGCTTGTACCGGTCGGTGATCGGGGAGATGAGCGCCGAGACCAGCAGGCCCACGACGATGAGGATGCCCCCCGCGATCCCGGCTTCGGTCTCGCTGGCCCCGTAGGGGCTGAGGATCTGGTTCAGGAGCGAGGAGACGCTGTTGAAGAAGCCTACGTAGATGGAGAAGGGGATCAGGATGAGGTAGAATTCGAGGGTGCGCAGGAGCTGCGTGACGGTTGGGAGGAGTGGGGTTGGCTCGCTTGTGTTGTTGGTGTTCTGGTGGCTGGCGGACGAGGCGCTGGGCGGGGTCGGTGGTGCAGAGGGGAGGATGAAGGACGGGAGTGAGGCGATTGTTGCCTGTTGTTTGGGGGTGAGTGTTGGTCACGAGGAGGTTGGATAGAGGGTGAGGCTCACGATGATCGAGATGTACAGCACCATGTTGGGGACGTCGTCCGGCTCGGTGGCCCAGAACGAGTCGATGAGTTGACCCAGAGCTGCGCCGAGGGGGTTGGCGAGCGTCGCCACGGCCGTCGCGCTCGTGCGTCCTCGATCGGAGAACCAGAGGTCGCTGTACCGTGTCGGTGCACTGAGACAGAATGGCTGCGCCAGGCCGATCAGGATCTGGCCGAACATGGCCACCCCAAACATCCCGCCGCGAGCTCGCGTGCCGGCATATCGGATCCAATTGCCGGCCAGCAGCAGAGAGGAGGTGATGATGATCGCGGGCTTGGGGCCGCCTTTGTTGAGGGTGAAGATGACGACGCTGGATGGGGGAGTCCTGAGTTAGGTGCGTGCTGTTTGATGACGATGATGAACGATGAGAAGCGAACTCACGGGCTGGCGGCGCAAAAGGCAAAGAGATAGCCGGTGCTCATCCAGTTGATGGCGCTCTCGGAGACCTTGAAGTGCTCGGCAGCGGTGGTCGATATCGAGGAGAAGGTCAACCACTGTGGCGTGATGTTTAGAGCGTGGTTTCACTTTACATTTACGCACTTGCAACTTACATCCCAACTGACGACAATGTTCAACAGTACCAGCTGGATCAAACCCCAGAATCGTCGCTTGTAGACCTTGTAGACCGGTCCCGAGGGGGGGAGCGCATCCCTCCCAGATTCAACATTCCTCGTGGCCATGATCTCGTTGTGCACACAAGAACCGACTGGAATGAGGAGAGGCCAAATGAGGGGAAGGGAGAATCCGGGGGAGGGGGGAAAACCCAGCGAAGATAAATGGCTGATAGGCTCGCTCGTTGACGCAGTGGTTGGTGATTCCACGCGGTTATTTTATATTAAAAATCGCATGCTCGGCTGCTTGTGATTTGCGCGTCCTTTGCGGGCGCAAATCCAGACCGATGAAGGAAGCAGATCAACCGGCTTTTGGTGGTTTGGGCTGTTTCAATTGAGCCGAAAGTCAGGCTGGTTGTGGTTACATCTGGAGATTGGATGTTACATCTTCTTCTCATCCCAAATTTGAGAGCGTACGTAGTTTCTGGGTATGGCTATCATGGATGCTTATGATGAGGGTGGTTGCTGGTAGCCTCAGTTGGTTGGGTTGAGTCTGTTCTATAAGAAGTAAGTTGGACAAAGAATGGATTGAGTTGAACATATTGAGCAGGGGATGGGTTCGGGACTCGGACCAGAGCATACTGCCAAGAGTGTAGAACATACTCGAGTATGTGCATCGAGTGTGATATGTAACTTATCACACAATCTTGCGCGCGAGATTTCCCCCGAAATTCCCGAAAAGGCTGAGTGAGTGAGTGACTTGGGGACAAGATCATCGGCCAGCCGCTGCGTCATTCTCCCTCCGGTCGGTCTATCTTCACGATCACCATGTGGTTCATGTGGTTCGTGTGGTTGAGAATTAAGGATGGCGGCAGTGGAGCACAACCGACGAATCCGTTGTTTCAGGGGAAATTCCGGGGCGGTTTAATAATAGAAATCTATGTCAAGAGGAGTTCTTCATGGACATTCATTCCACTTTGGCTGGCTGGGTTTCCGCCTGTCAAACTCCTGCCATGACAGCGGCTGGGGTCTCAGCTTGCTTGCAGCTGAATAAAAGTGCGATGTGAAGGATTCCCAAGGGGGATAAAGGAATGAGAGCTGTCGAGGAGGATGGATGGATGGATGGCGGGATGGCGTGAAGAAGAGCGATCGCATCGGAGCCATCCATCTCTGCACCTTTCTGCACCTTCCTGACTGATCACAGTGCAGGTAGTTTAAATAACTGAGATGCAGTCCCACTGAGTGGTGATCCGTTTAGTTCTTTTCTTGTACCTGATATGCTCCGGTCGGCTGGTGCTGATCTCTTAGTATTCTTCTTTTGACTCCGTCCCTTTCTCTCTCTCTCTCTCTCCCCCTCTCTCCCTCCTCTCCCTCTTTCCCCCTCCATCTCCCTTCCTTGTACCAATTAATTCGGTTGTATTGAGCGTTGGTCTCTCCCTTACCTTGATAATACCTATTATCTATTTTCCCTTCATTCTTTCAGTCTCTAAACGAACCCCTCCCTCCCTTCTCTGCTTTGGGGGAACGGTGCCCACGGCTGCCACTGCAGAGGATGGGCCTTGCCTGTTGATCCGCGAGTCTCCAATTTAAACACCCCGACCTGCTCCTCAAGTCCCTCTCCCCAACATTCTTCGACATTCGCACTACATCATCACCATGAACGGCCTTGATGTCAGGTCCAGCCTGTCCTCGTACGGCGACCCCAGGCACTCAGCCTCCTACGGCGCTTCGCAACCGCCCCCAACCGGATTGCTGATGAACGGCTACCGCGATGCGTCCGGACCCCAGCAGCCACTGGGCAAGTCCCAATTCAATCCGGTTCGTGAGACCCCTAACTTCTAAGACTGAACCTAATCGCATACTTATTCTCCATTGTGTCCCTGCCCTGCAGCTGAACACGAACCTACCCCGGAACTCCGCCGTCCTCCACACCCATGACCCCGTCGCCATGTACCTGCTCACGGAGACCGCCATGAGCGACAGCACCCACTACGAGATCCTGTCGTTGGAGGAAGTGGAAGGACTGAAAAAGGAGCAGAAGTTCGTCAACAGTCGCCTGAACGCCGCGAAACGCAAACTGGCCCTGGAGACGAAATTGCGCGACGCCGCCATGTCGCTGAGCCGGCTGTACACGCCCAAGAGTCCCTCCTTCAACGGCCGGGAGGACCCCGAAGCCTCCTCTCCGCGGTCCCAACGAAGCCTGCTCGGACACAATGAGACCACCATGGACAAGACGGACGAAGAGCTGGCGCTGAGCACCCGCAAGTGCGAAGAGCTTTCGCAGGAGATCTGGGACCTGGAGCGCCGGCTGCAGCAGGTCAATAGCCGGCTGCTGGAGCACACGGCTGGGATCCTGCAGATGACGCACAAGGGCTTGAAGAAGAATCTCAAGAATAATGTGCCCCACACCCCGGAGAGTCTGTCTAGCCATCACACCCGAGATAGTATCGATGGGTTTGATGATCGGAGCTTCTACAAACCGTCGGGTCATCTGGAAGAGCACACCGGACAGGGGCTGCATGGACTTGGGTTGGAGGCTGTTCAGGATACGGAGAAACGGTTGGAGTATCTGAGTGGGAGGGTGTATGACTTGATCCTACAGTCTAATTCTGCTGGAGAGCTCGAGCCAGTCCCGCAGCCACCCCCTGGGGCTACTCCAACTGCAGCGATGGAAGCGTACGTAGCTTATATTGAGAATGCCCTGGAAAGTCTTAGTGCGCACCCCGCAGGCAGCCAGTCTCAGACACGGTCTCTGGATGATGAGTCCGGGCAGCAGCTCGGCGAGCTCAACGCGCGACTCCATCAGATTGTCCAGCAATCGGGCATGCCGGGCGCCCAGACTCTTCCTCCGCCGCCCGACTCTTCCAGCGCAGACCAGACGGAGCATTTCTCTTACCTCCATGCCGGTCTCAATGGGCTGGAAGACCGACTCGAGAAGCTCTTCGAGCAGAAGAGCATCTTGACCACTCAAATCCAACAGCAGCGCGAATTGAACTCCAAGTCCGACGCCGAAAGAGACGCACACATCGCGGACCTGATGCAACAACTGGCGCATGTCCGGAAAGACCTCGAATTCTCCGAGAACGAGGGCCAACGGACGAGAGATGATCTGGAAGACGCGATGAACCAAGTAGCGACCCTGCAAAAAGAGCTGGCAGACCATCAAGAAAAGCACGTCATGGAGGATACCTCGAAGGCTCTGACCACGGAGCAGGAAGCTCGTGCGCGCGCCGAAGCTGAGGTTGAACGCTTGGAAAAGGTCCTGGAAGATCTCAAGAGGGAACAGGATGCTCAGGCTCAGGCTCATGAGGCACGCGCGCACGCCGAGAGTGAGGTCGCTCGTCTGGAAGCCCACATCGGAGAAATCCAATCACACCATGATGCTCGCCTTGAAGAGCTCACCACTGCACGTTCCGCGGCGGAGAGTGAAACGACACGGTTGCAGGCGGCCCTTGAACAACATCAGAGTGAGGCTACCCAGTTGCAGGCGGCGCTTGAGCAGCATCAGAGTGAAGCCACTCGGTTACAAGCAGTGCTCGACCAACACGGGGAGGAAGCCGATTCCAAGAGCAGAGCGCTTACAGAAGCTCATCTGGAACAGCTCCAATCACAAGCCGACGCTCACACGGAGGAGCTGACTGCCTTGCGCTCAAAGACCGATGGCGAAATCACGCGTCTTCAAGAGATCATTGACGAACTCCAGAGTACGGCAAACAATCAAGCGGAGGCCACGGAAGCCCGTCAGCACGCCGAGCAACAGATCTTGGAGTTACGAACTACGCTCCAGCAGACCCGCAATGAGGCAGATGCTCAAGTCAAAGAGGCTCTCGACGCCCGAGCGCAAGCCGAGAGTGAGGTTGCTCGGCTGGAAGAATCCCTGGCTCAATTCCGCGTCAGTGTGGAAGCTCAGCTGAAAGAGGCCACAGATGCCCGCATCGACGCCGAGAACGAGGTTGCACGGCTAGAGACCGTTCTAAGTCAGCTCCGCGCCGACGTCGAAGCTCTGGAGGCTCGCGTCACGGAAGTGACCGTGGCGCGCGCTGAAGCAGAGAACAACTCGTCACGTCTGCAGGCTGAACTGAGAGAGATGGAGGGTGAAGTCGTCCGTGCCCAGACCGAGCTGACGATGGCCAAGGCGGAGCTGGACGGTGCATATGGGTCGCGAGCCCAGCGAGCGGCCGACATCGCCGCGAATCCTGCCATCCAGAGGGAGTTTGATGAGCTGAACACGCGCAACCTGGAGCTGGCCGAAGAGCTTGCAGCCCTCAAGGCGGGCAAGCCTGGTGGTGATCTCCAGCACCGGGTGGACTTGCTGGAGAGAGAGCTCCGAGATACAGTGGACGATTACGAAGTAATGACCAAGGCCAGCATCGAGTTCGAAAAAGAACGCGAGCAGTTCGAGGGAGTCATCGATACCCTGCGCGACCGTTGTGAACAACTGGAGACGCAGCTCAATGAGGAACGAATCAACTGGATGGGCAGCGGACGCGATGGCCATGAGACCACTTCTACCATGGTGCTCAAGAATGAGTTTAAGAAGATGATGCGAGACACGCGGTCCGAGAACCTGAAGATACGCAAGGTATGTCAATGGAAAACCCTCTTTTTTAATGTGATTTCTAGCTGACGATATCACACATAGGCGGAACACGACGAACGCCGTCGGCTGGAGGCTCAAATCCGAAATCTGAACAAGGATATTGCGAACTTGACTGGCAAGCCGCCCTTGGGCCAGCCTGTCGTCACAGCTTGATGATCACGATCCTTTTCTATGCTCTAGTTCTCTTTGCATCATGTCCGATGGATCGCTTCCAGCGGGTTCATCGGGCTTGTTGTTCATATTTCTTTCCCCGTACATAATTTAGGCCCCCCTCTTAATCTCTGCCTGTATATCCAACCCGCTCTTGATGTACTGTACTAACTTCCGGCCATTTCTCGGTACTTGATTTGTCTGTGTACATAGATTAGAGTCTATCAGCGAGCCTTGCATACATCAGCATCATGAGTTGACTGATTGTCGACCTTTCCTCTAACTATTCCTTCTGCTCCTGTCGCGCCTTCCTCTTATAAGATGGAAGGCGCAATAGCCTAGATCAGTTTGAATCTCTTCCAGCTTCGATCAACCTCTCGTCGTCATGCTCCCTTTCTTTTTCTTAGACCTAATCAGACGAATGCCTCCCTTACTTTCTGCGCAGCATGGTTCTCCAGGATCAAGGGCAGGGACCTCAGAGTGGTTTGCCTGGCAACGACGAGGCCTTCTCTTCCGGACGAGCAGCTGCTGTTAGCATGGCGCGGTACTCCCACCTGGAATTCGCAGACTCTATTCCTAGTGAGGAGAGTTACATTTTCGACGCCATCAGGGCTTACTCCAGCTCGGATGAGGTTTCGCAACGACCGGGCTCAGCTAGGCACATACACCGAGATCTAGATAGCAGGCTAGTAGCCCACACAGCGACCTTCCCTCCTCCTACGACGCAGGACACGGGGCGTTCACGCCAACCGCAACAACAACCACCATGCCGACAACCTCGATGTCTCAGGAAAAAGGAAACTTCGTTCCCGGGCCGGCATCCTTACACTGCCAACAACAGTCGCGTTGTGTCCGTCAACGAAGGCCGAGCCGTAGTCGCAGCGCCCCAGGACGAGTCACTGAAACCGAACCTCTTCGACGTCCTGCACCTTCACAAACCCACCACCAGCCTCAATGATACGGACGAGGCTTCCAAGTTACCCTACTGGCTTGAGCAGGACTGTCCCGCCAATCCTGTATATCCTGCGTTTCCACCGCCCATAAGGTCACTCACTCCGCCTGGCCTCCCGACGTTCGGCACCCCCGAAGCGGTGAACTATTCTTCTCAGTTCCAGGTTCGCTCGGCCACAGGGGGTGATTATCAGAATCCGCAGGCAGCGAGTGGCTCGTCGAGTGGGTTCTATGGTGGTGGTGGTGATGCCTCTGGGCGCACGAGAACGGCGTCATATGGCGACAAGATCCGAAGGATATTCAGCTTCGCCTCTTCCACTCCTCCGCAGCCGCAACGGCAAGTACCGATTGTGGCACGAGCGGAGGATGGCACGGCGGTGCAGGGACGTTTTCCTTACCGACAGAGCGGGCATGGTGTTGGTGTGGTCAGGCGAATGGAAGATCATACTTTCCATCAGAGGGCGCTTTCGCCTGCGCTGGAGGAGAATACCCACGACCTCAGCACCCCCACTCAAGACAGGAGACCTAAGAGAGAGCAGAGCAATAGTCCCCAGCGAGAAGTTCCCTGGCGCATGACCCCGGCATATGTAGGCCCCGTTGCGAGTCATCACTCGGCCCGCGGTCGCTTCTCTTCAGTGTCTCGCCTGCCTGCCCATGACAACCTGCAGAGGCCCGGTTCGGCCAATACCGGCTACACAACGAGCAGAGTGGAATCGTTCTATACATGCGCATCTCAGTTGTTCAAGCCTGCGCCGTCGAGACAGCATACGAGCACTATGGATGATCCGACGTGCGAGATAGCGCCACAAGAGCCGGTTGCATGCTCGCTTATCCCTACGGAGTCACCCACAACGTCCGCCCAACCAGATCACTGCGCTCTAGCCTACAATCCGTCTGGCTCGTGGCTGAAGCTGCTATCAATAGGTAACTCCTGTCTCTCCTGTTGCTTGGGCGCCGAACATGATCCAGACTCTGCCGTCTACTCCAATACATCTTCGCGTGAGACATATGAGACTGCTCGGAGCCATACTTCGAATGAAATTGCTGTAGAGCCGAATCGAGAGGACGAGGCAGCCGAAGCTCCAAGCCCACCAACGCGTACAATACAATGGTTCTTGGAAGCATGGACGTCCGTTCACGAATATGCCTTGCGGAATGTCGGCACCATCGGCCGGATTCTGGATTGATATCCCTCGATCAGATGCTACGGGGGGGGGATGCTCAATAGCAGTTGCTTTTTCAGGGATAAGTGCAGATATCCGCAGAGGTGGCTGCATGTTATGTCCACCTTGCTAGTGGAAGTTTGCTCCGTGGTGTAGTTCAAATGGCTGTCCAGGCTAGTTTTAATGTGATGCAGTGTGTGCAGTATGTGAGAAAACGTACATATCCCTAAAAAGGTGCAATACCAACCGCTATCATTAACCTCATGTCATGTTGTCAGGAAAGAACCATAGAAAAAATCACAAGACTAAGAGGGAAGAAATAAAAAAATATGTGTAATGCAAACCAAATAATCGAGGTTAACGTCATAGAATAAATGAGCCCCAGATCAGATCAGAACTCCAACTCCAACTCCATCGCTCCAATAATGCCCCGCGAATGCTTTGAATAGACGATGGATGATTCAACACGAAAAAAAAAAAAAAAAAAAAAAAGGGAAACAAAGGACATAAGTGACCACGCTATGAGTGGGATACATGTCAACAATCAAAAAAGAGAAACCCCCCGCGCCTCCGACCGTTCTCGGTCTGAAACACCCCGATTTGATGCGATAGCGAGAAGGGGAGAGTTGAATGAGGAGGATAGAAGCTTTGGCGCAGGAAGATGGGATGGTAAGTACTAGATGTACTGTACTGTACTTGCCGAGTCGGAGCTAGACCAGACCAGACCTGACCTAGCTAGATCTAGACCCAGGCCCAGGCCCAGACCCAAACCCGGATCCAAACCCAAGTGTACGATGTGTAATGCAAAGACAGCGGCGGACTTTCTTTGTGTCTGGGAAAGCACCACGAAAGGTACGGTGTTCCTTCCAACCCATCCCATGCCCCATGCCCCATGCCCCATGCCCCATGCCCCATGCACCAACCAGACCCGCACACACGGACAGAGCCATATCGACTATCCACCCCATTACAAGAAGGCGGAATCATAGACACATGAAGAACCGGCACGCCTCGCGCAGCTCCTCGTCGTCGCCGACAAAGTCCCAGCCGACGATGCGCGGGTCCTGACTCGAGCAGATGATCTTGTGGGCGTCGAATTGGAGCTTGAAGACGCGCGAGGTGGGGACGGCGCTTGCGTCGCGCGGGTGGTGGCGCGGGCGGGGGTGGGGTTGTTGTGGTGGTGGTGCTAACGGATGGGGAGGTTGGTGGAGGGCTGGGTTGATGATGCCGTTCATGTTCATGGGGGGCTGGGACTGGGCCTGGCTGGCGGCGGGTGGGGTTGGGGTTGGGCCTGTTTGCGATTGCGGGTGCGGTTGCTGCTGGGCTTGGCCGGCGAGGCGGGCTGTTAGGGCTTGTAGGGTTTGGAGGGCTCCTCCCGCTGCTTGGGGTGCTGAGGCCGAGGCTGTGGTGGGAGTGGGGGTTTGTTGGTTCTGTGTTGCTGCTACGCCAGGGTTTGGGAGGTGTTGTTGCTGCTGGGCGAAAGCGTTCGATCGAGTGGTAGCCGCGCGGGCGGCCGGGTCAGACACCACGTAGGCGGCGCTGGTGGCTGCGTCCTCCTGGCGCAGGCGCTGGCCGACCACCCAGCGGCCTTCCTTGCATTTCTTCCAGATGATGATGGACTCGTCGTAGGAGCCGGAGACGATGCGCGCCCACCGGCTGCCGCCGCCGCCGGGGGGGATTTTGGCACCCAGGGCCTTGATGTCCCGGGGGTCGCGGGAGCCGGTGGTGTTCTGCGTGTAGCCGGCGCGGCGGAGGGCGCGGGGCCCGAGGTCGACGCTGGCCCCCGAGCGCTGCGCGTTGCGGAATGCGTTGTCGACGGCGAGGGCTTCGAGGCGGAGAGTCTCCTCCGCGCCGGGCGGGTCGCCGAAGCCGGCTTGGACGGTCCGGACGAGATTGCCGTGGCCGTGCAGGCAGGCGACTTCGGCGCCGGAGGCGTGGTCGAAGATCCGGACGGTGTCATCGTTGCTCCCGCTGATGATCCGGCGGTTGTCGACCTGCACGCAGGCGATGCCCTTTTCGTGGCCGATGACGGTCTTCTTGCAGGCGCCGTTGCGGAGGTTCCAGACCTTGATCAGTCGATCTCCCGAGGCGGAGACGATCTCGTCCTCGTTGAGCTGGATGGCATTCACGGCGGCGGTGTGTCCGTCTATGGTCATCAGGAGGGAGAAAGGGGCGAGGCTCTTCATGTGGCCGTTGGCAAGTTCGGCTTCCAGCACCGGGGAGGGCATCTCCGCCGTATCGATTATGTAGGACGGATAGGTTACGCCGGTGCCGAAGAACATGCTAGGGTAGTCCTTGTCGGCTGGGGAGAGCTGGTGTCGGCTCCAGACCTTGATGAGCGTATCCTTGGAGCAGGTTACAATATACCGCTCGTCGAAGCGAAGATTCAAGACCGAGTCATCATGGGCGGCTGCGATCTCATGGAGCTTCTCACCAGTGGAGAATCGCCAGATGATGACGCTTTTATCGCTGCTGCCCGAGATGATGATATCCTCTGAGGGACGAGGGTCGAACTGTAGGCAGAGTACCGACTTTGTATGGCCCAGCAGCGGCGGGTGCCACAGGCGCTTCGTGTCTAGGTCCCAGACTCTTAGGGTTTTGTCCCGACTGCCACTGACCAACCATTTGCCGGTGAACTGGATCGCGTAGACGCACTCCTGATGGGCTTCTTCCATGTGTGCCGGATGTGGCAGTTGGAAGTTTGTGAAACGGCCTTTGGCCCAGTTCTCTTCCAGCTTTCTTCGTAGCCTGTAGAGGTGGAGCCAGTTGACTTTGGCCGCGCCGTTGGGCATCCGAATCAGAAGCGATGAATTCGGACGGCGCGTAGCTGTTGACAATCCATTCCCACTGAGTTTGAGCGGAGTCGATCCGGAGTGAGATTCGCGCCGTCTGCTCGGACTTGTCATTTGCTCTTCCGGAGAGAACAATGTACTCCTTTCGGTGGATGCATCCCCCATTGGGAGGTCGCCTTCATTATCTGCCTCCTGCGCCGCAAGCCTTTGCCCGTTTTCCGGCCTCGTTTTCCGACCGAGCGATCCGGTTGTCCGTGAATTCAGCCAGCTGGGAGGTACCCGCTTCTTCTGCTTCGGCTCACCACTATCCGGGTCGGTATGTCTCGAGCGGGATTTCCGTAACTGTGGGGATGAAAGTCCCGAGTGTTCCTGCTCAAACGTGCGGACAGCGTCCATATCCACCTTCCAGCCTTCGTTGATGTAGAGGTCTTTCCACAGGCGCGAGTCCGAGATGCGATTGCGCCAGGCACGGGAGGCCAGGGAAGCCATCAGCAGTGTCTGTGGGTCGAGGTAGGAGAAGATCTCGGAGGTGATCTCGGGCGGGAGTTTCAGCACCGGATCCATGTGCAGGCGCGGCGCCAGGCGCTCGATCACGGAGGCCACGGTGGATGCGCGCATGGTGCGAAGAAGGTTAAAGGCCAGCTCTGCATTATGATGTTATGGCTGATTAGTATGGGAAGGTGATCGCCACGGCCCCAGTACGGTGGTAAGACATCCTGTGGGTCGGGGAACCGGGAAGAGTCCGTTGCTAAACTTACCAGCTCTTTCGGTCTCGCTGTGCGTGAGAACCCACTCTTGGAGCGTCATCCACTCATCCGAGGCGGGAATCGCCAGGTCCTTCTTCTCGACTCGAGTTTTCGTCTCATCGGAGTAACCCTCGTCGAGCTTGAAGGGCGTCGACAGCGAGGGGGTGTCGGCGGCGGCGAAGTCGGAGGTGTGGTTGACGGCAGGTTGGAGCGGAGGAAGACGAGGGCTAGAAGCGGACCCCGAGGACTTGCGAGCCATGAGGACACACTACCTACCTTGCAGGGATTCCTCGCAGTGTCTGATTGTCCCGTTTCCGTTGCAGCAGCGAAAGAAAATTCTGCATCTGACTTTGTTTCAAGTAAATCGATGGGCTGGACACCAGCCGGTTGTCGCGAAAGGAGCTAAATCGGGTATTGCAAACACCACATGGAAAGGGATGGAGGGGGGCCGGGAAGAGAGAGAAGGGCGGCCAAGAAGAGAGAGTGAAGGTGGGAAAAGAGACACCCCTGAGTCCGGAAGTAGTTCGGGGAGAAGAGAAGGGGTGTAGTGGATAGATTCGAGGATGATGATGATGTATGTAATTAGTGTAGTAGTAAAGGAAGAGAGGAGAGGAAGAGAGAGAGAGAGAGAGCGAGCGAGAGAGAGAGAGAGAGAGAGAGAGAGTCAGGCAGTAACTGGAAAGTGCAGTGGAAAGTGACCTCGTCACGTCAGATTGACTCGATTGGGTTACGGTGCGGGTTGCCGAAGATCCACCCCGCGTTTACTGCACATTGGCTGGCTTTGAAGTACATCCTTCAAGGTTCCTTCAATTTGAGTATAACGACAGTATAACTACATTACTACATTACTACATTACTATATTACTACATTACTACAATGAACACTGTAGGCGTACCTGTTTCATCTTACTGGGGTTGACCGTTGCCCCTTTGGATCCAGTAAGGAGAGCGGACGGGATGCAAAACAAATAGCCCTGTAAGGAACACGGGATGTGAGATTGAAGCATGATTCAAATCAAAGATTCAAATCAAAGAACGATTGTAATCCGTTAGTAAGACAGAATGCCATTCACAACTGTCAGGTCTGATATTTGGTATGTCTGGGGTGGTATCTCCCTGAGAGTCGGTCAGCGTCGAGCCATGCTCGAGTATGTGAAGATGATACATTACCGATACCCTTGTTCAATCCCAAACTGTTGGTGTATGAGAGAAGGGTTTCTTCATGCAGCAATCCATCCTTTGGCTTCATGCTTTCCAATCCGCCTGGTTGGAACGATCAGAAGATCCTCTAGTCTATACCTAGAATAGAGGCGCGTAGGAAATGCAGGCGGATGATTCCCTGCGGAGATCATCCATCATCCATCATCCATCATCGACACATAACAACATTTACTTCCTTCTACATTTCATCTTTCTGTCTTTCTTTCTTTCTATCCTCCCTCCTTCAAGTATTTTGCCCCCTCCTCCCTCCCTCTCTTTCTCTCTCTCTCTGTCAATCTTCTATCAATCTCTCACACCTCTTTATTCTCCCGGTCTCTTCCTCCCCCCTTTCTTCTACAACCTACAGCTATCGATCGATCGACTTGATCTCCTGCTTCGGGGGGAAGCTGACGCGCGCAGGTACTGTCCCTACTGCCACTGCAGGTAAATTGACTGGCCTGGAATTCTCCCCTTCTTCCGCTCACTTGACCACTACAATCCATCATGGATCCATGTCTTCGCCTCTCTCCTTTTGCCTCTCTTCCTCTCTCTCTCCTCTACACCTAAACCTCTCAGTCTCCCTCCTTTTTTCATTCTTCCGCCGCGGGATTATTTTCCACCCTCTTCCCCCTTCTTTCTCTTTCTCATCTCTAACCCTCTCTCCCTTTCCCTCTCTAGCTTGTTGCTCTTCTGTTTCTTTCCCTTCCTTTCTTTCCATTGAATTTGTCATTGACCTCGTGCATTGGATTTGTGTTTCTTTGCCTCCCGCCGCGGCTGTAACACTGATACCACCACCACCACCACCACCACCACCACCACCACCACTACTACTACTCGACCCCAACTTCAGCTCGCTTGGTTGAGGGGCAAACCGACTGACTGATCCATTCCGCCTTTCCCTTCTCCGTCTCTTCTCCCCTCTCTCTTTCTCGGCTTCCAAGTTCCCCCCCAATTGTAACCACAATCAGCAGCACAACTCTTGTCTCCCTCCCTCCCTCCCTTTCCTCCCACTCCTCCCTCTCCCCTCCAAAAGTCAACTTGCGCTTGCCTGGCTGCAGCGGCAAACCCCACACCCACCCTCTCTCTTTTTGAATTGTTCATCCAACAATATCATTTCTCCCTTTGGCTTACCTTCTTGGCTTTCGATCTTTACTAATCCGCATTTTACTCGATCAAGAAGACGGAAGAAAAAAGAAAAAGAAAAAGAAAAAGGAGGGGCGCTGTCTTCAGCAAGGGCCGGAGATTTAACCTGGCACCCTTCGCCGCGCTAAAGAAAGAAACCCCAAACTATTAAAAGACTACAAGGAGAGATTTCATCCTGTCGTGGTCGCCTCCCCGCGCGACTTTCTTTTACCCTCTTCCAAAAGGTACTTATCTATCCCCGATCGGCTCCTGACGAGTCTCCGGCGAGGCAGAGTCGAGACACGGAAGACCAGCTTGCGGATAAACTGACTGACTCACTTAGGGATAGTGAACCGTACCACTATCTCCACTCTAAGTTTCCCTAGTTGCTCGCTTGTTCCCATTCATCCCGCATCGGTCCACCGGCTCGCCTTCATTGATCCATGCTCCTCTTGCTGTTCCCTGTGCAACCACGCCTGTCGCTCCCGTCCACGCCCGCCTGCCCTTAGTCTGCTGCGCAGATTCGACTCCCCCCTCAACCACCCCCCCAACCCGGTCCCAATCGGCCTCAGTACACGATGGCCGAGACCGTCATCTCAAATGGCGGTCCTATCGCCGAGGACAACATCATCAACCGCCGCGGCGGGGAATCCATATACCAGAGCTGCGTCAATCTCAAGAAGCGTTTAGCAGAGGTGCCCAACTTCGAACCTCATTTGCAAGAGATGGAGGAGGCGGATCTCGTGCAAGGCAACACCGATCCCGTGGCCTCGCTGTGGAATTGTTTGCGGAATGGATACCCCCTCCTGGCCATCTACAACGCCTCGGGCCCAGATGAGAATCTGGAGATTGATCCCGCCAAGGTGCCCGAGGCCAAACGACCCAAGGCCGCCACCTTCAAGTTCCTGCAAGCCTCGCTGCAGGAACTAGCGTTTCCCCAGCAGGATTGCTTTCTAATCACCGACTTGTATGGGGAAAATACCACCGGCTTTCTCAAAGTGATCAAGATGGTGAATCGCGTTCTGGACATCCTGGAGATGCAGGGACAATTGAAGCGACCGTCGGACGAAGCAGCACGCGCTCCGGTGAAAGGCGCCGTGAAGCTGACAAAGCGAGAACACATCCTCAAGGAGTTGCTGGAAACGGAGCGCGACTATGTCCACCACTTGCAAAATCTCCAAGCCTTGAAGAAGGAGTTGGAAGAAACGGGAGCCCTAACAGGAGATCATAGCCATCAAATCTTCCTGAACCTGAATAACCTCCTCGATTTTGCACAGCGATTTTTGATTCGGATCGAGCAGCATTACGCTTTGCCCGAAGAGAGACAGAACTGGGGCGAATTATTTACACAGCATGAAGAAGCATTCAAGCAATACGAGCCCTTTATAGCGAACCAGCTGAGATGTGATGAGGTCTGTCTGAGAGAATGGGATAAGATCCGCGTGGCCCCGCGATCTCTGGACTTGCAACAAATGGTGGCGCAACCCGCAACGCTGAACGGCTTTTTCGTCAAACCTTTCCAGCGCCTGACCAAGTACCCTTTAATGCTCAAGGTATGGATCCTTAAAGTGGACTACAGATGAACCTTGTCCTCTTTCATACCGCTAACCGTCGCACAGGAGCTCGGCAAGCAGATGGAGAACCCCGATCTCCAGAACGATATTCAGCGGGCAATCGATGCCATCCAGTCGGTTCTGGACTCGGCCAACGATGCCATTGACAAGGAACATCTGCAGACAGCGGTTAAGGATCTGGATGACCGCGTTGACGATTGGAAGGCACTGAAAATAGAGGCCTTTGGAGATCTGTTGCGATTCGGCACGTTCTCCGTCATCAAAGGTGACAACGGAAAGGATTCCGAAAGAGAGGTCAGTATACACTCGAATCGCCTCGGTCCTACTAGAAGAATGCAGCGGGATTCAGTCGCTTTAAAGCCTTGAGAGCCACAGGCTGACTTGGGAATCTCCCTCGCACTATCTAGTATCATATATACCTCTTTGAGCGGATTCTACTATGCTGCAAGGATATCAACCCTAACAAGCAGAAGACCAAGTTGATGGTCGGGAAGGACAAGCCTGCCACGACTGGCAAGGGCAAACCACGCCTTCAGCTCAAAGGCCGCATCTATATGGCAAATGTGACGGATGTCCTGTGTATGCCGAAGCCAGGTATGGTTCTATCTTTCTAAACATCCCATCTGTCTTTGTTACACCTCTGGTCATACGCCCAAGGACGTCCAGACTGCAATCATATAGCCATGTGCCATGTTTCTGACTTCTCTTCGCCACAGGATCATATCGAATCCAGATCTTCTGGAAGGGCGATCCAGGTGTCGTCGATAACTTTATCATTCGCTATCAAAACGAGGATGTCATGCGCAAATGGAGCCGGGACATCGAAGCACAGCGAGCAATCCAAGCCGAACAGCGCAGCGCCCGCAATACCAGCACATCCGAGACTGAATTCACGTACATGAAGTCCATGGCCAACATGCCCAATCCCTACCAGCAGGAGTATGACGAAGAGCAGGCTGCAACCAAGGAAGCTGCTTTCTTCTCCGAGTTTCCCATGAGTCGGAACGCCTCAAGCACGAGTCTCCGGACTCGTTCAGCAACAGGCGGCAGTGGCAGCTCTGGTCCGGTTGGTCGTCCGCCCCGCTTTCCTGTGCCTGATCCCAGTCTGTCGGTACATACGCAGTTCCCCGGTGGCAGTATGTCACCAGCTGAGAGGAACGCCAACTCTTATTTCTCCCCGGTTGCCGAAACCCCATCGACCAGGTCCAGTTCGCAGTCTACCGGCTACTTTAGCAGCCGACAGGCCACACCTACCAACAATTGGAGCGAAGACCACCCTCGCTACACGGCTCCTGCCTTGTCTCGAGCTACGTCCAGGGATGGCCCCAACTCCAACCCCTATTTCAATGGCGCGTCGAATGGACGAAGCGCTCAGCGTCCCTCGCTACCTCCCATGTCGGGAGGTTCCGCTCAGGCAGCTAATGGCATGGCACAGCGGATGCGGTCCGCTAGTAGTCCCGATATCCACAACGCCGAGCTCCGTCGGTATATGCAGTCGATGGAGTCTGTTCCTGTCCCACCTATCCCCGCTCATATGGCCAGCATGAAGGCGCCAGTCAACCGAAGCCAGAACAACTCCCCTACCTCCAATACTCAACTTCCCATTCGGAACGCCAACCACCTTTCCAACTCGCAACATGTCTCTCCCACCCACTTCAATGAGCCTCAATATGGCGATCACCGGCCCAACACGGCAGCTACCGATCAGCCAACCTCCCCCTTGAGCTATGAGCCCGACGAGGAGCCACTCATGCCCACGCAGCTCAAGGTGAAGGTCAACTTTGATGATAACTACGTTACGTTGGTCATTGCAAGCAACATCATGTTCCGGTCCCTGATCGACCGAGTAGACGCCAAACTGGCTCGCTTTACTACCAAGTCGATAACGAGCAAGTCAGTCCGACTCCGATACCGGGACGAAGACGGAGACTTTGTGACCATTGACAGCGACGAAGCGGTTCAGTTGGCTTTCTTGGAATGGCGGGAGCAGCAGCGTGATATGCTCGCCCGGGGCCAAGTTGGGGAGATTCAACTGTACTGCCAGGCAGTCGAGACCTAGGTGTGCCAGAGTCGAAACGCCAGAGTCGAAACAGAGCCGCAGCAATGTCGGATGCTTTGGCATGACCAGCTTCTCCTTCACCGCTCTTTGTCTTTCTTGCTTTGTTCTTCCATTTATTCCCCCTCTCGCCTCTGTTCGTCTTGTGTTTCTCGATTACTGCCAATACCACCTATATTGTATGAGTTGGAAAGAGAAGAGACACCGATAACCAAACCATTCGCCGGTGCTGTCTCCTGGTTGCCCTCCGACCCTCGTCGTTCACTGGATTGGCCTTGAGGCTCTGGGAAGTCTCTGATTCTTGCATGCCATGCGCCTTTCAAGAAATCTTGGTTAGGTTGCTGTTCTGCTTGTTCCATTGCATGGAGTCGTGTCTTAGGAATTGTGCTGGGTCATATCATATCGATTTACTGGGAATGTCTTTTCTGCGGCAATGTTGATGACTGTGTTTGATCTGATCTACATGACTGCATGATGTATGTATACTGCTATTTCTTTTCACGCATACTGGCTTGCGGGTTGAAAAGATGAGTTGTACAGTGTTCCTGCATTTTCATTTGAAGCTTGCCTGTTGTGTTTTGTCTGCCGGCTACATTGGTTGCGTTGGGTCGTGTCTGACAGCGGGTTAGATACGACGGTTGGGAAATACGGCCGGAGTGCCTCAATCGTAATGAAATAGACTTGTTTCCTCCCTTCTGCTTTTGCTTGAATAACTGGATTTAAATTTAGCGTAGAGCCCGTCACTTTGTGTGACTTTGCGGCTGTTGGAGTGAGGCTTGGGCAGGGAGGGGCAAGGTCCATCAGAGAAGAGGGGCAAACCACAGGATGCAATGAGACTTGTCCAAAAGCCACACCCCTCTCTCTCTCTCTTGAGCTCTTCTCCCTTTGGTTGTTTGTTTGAAATTAATATACGGTTGGGTCTGTCGCTCTCTTCCAGGGCTGAGGGTTGCACAAGACAAGAACCGGGAATCCGGGTCCCATCCGAGTGTTCCACTTTTCATTCCACTCTCTGTCCACTCAGTCATCCACTCGTCGATCGGGGCGGGAATCGATGCGGTCTGGACGGCAGGGTTCGACAGAAAGGAGGATGTGATTATTTATCGTGTTCGTGGATGCTACTATGCATAGTGACAAGTGAGGCATTTATCTTGTTTCGAAATCAAACAGGTGCGCACGACCTCCTGAGCGAGACCCCGACCTTGCGGGATTATTTGAGCATCTGTATCGATTCAGGGGGGGGGGTTGAGAGATGATCGACTGAGGGAGTGAGTGATTGACCGTCTCGAGGAGTCGGGCTGCCAATAGTATGACGGCATCCGACGTCGGAAAGGATGATGTGGAGGACGCTGACTAGACCAACTTGCTGGGTAAGTTAGTTGGTTAGTTTATGGCGGTGGACTAGTCACTAAATTAGTCGCTGCTTATGGCTTTCATGATGCTGATGGTTGGTGGGGGTGAGGGGGACGATGAGTGAGAATAATAGTTGGAGATGCGGTGCAGTGCCTGGTTGTAGTTAGAAAGTTGGATCCCCAACTCCAGTTCCAGTTCCAGTTCCAGTTGGAGGCCTTTCCCTCCCTCGAGTCCGTCTCTGCCTCGTCGACCCAAATAACTCAGGCCGCCTTTTTCTACTCATATTTTCTATTTTCTATTTTTTCTTCTCAGCATCTCCTGCATTTCCATTTACAAATCGTTTCTATTGTTGCCTCATATTATATTATCGTTCCCTCTCCTCCACCTCTTGTTCGTCTCATTCCTCTTCTTTACCTTCTCTTCTCTATCATCTCTAACATTATCTAGGACTTCAAAGCAACCAAGAAGACTGGTGCTTTGATTCTGTTTCTGCTTACACTTTCGTTCCTCGACCCCTGTACCGTACCTTTAGTGCGTACAGATAGTCGATAACGCTAAACCCCTCTCCTGCCAAGCAGTCCATCATGTCTTTCTCCGGCCGTCGCGTCAGCATCTTGCGCCCGGGAAACCGTCGGTTTTCTCTGGGCAAGGAATTGTCCGAGAACGGTACGTCAGATTGTTTTTGATTGTTGTTTCCCCCTTCACTCTGCGCCTCGGAATGGTGGAGTCTACGGAGGGGCGAAGTTGGAACAAGAGGGGAGGAATTGACACATCGGTGTTAGCGGGGCAGTGTCGACGACAAAGGCTATTCTTCTGAGGAACAAGGGCCTCTAAGCTATTTGGTTACGTGCATGCCATCTGACAGATCTCGCCCTTGCAGAACTCCGATCGGAAACCCACCGGCAATTCCGCAGCGCCCATGAGGGTCACCGTCCCCATGCCGGTCTCGATGCCTCGCGTGCCTCCACGGGTGTCGTCTGGTGCACAGAACGTGCCACCGAGCACGGTTACGCAGAGGATCCCTCTGCCTGGGCGAACCTGGGCCAGGGTGCCCCCGAGGCCGACGATGAGATCGAAGGCAGTTTCCCCCGTCCTACGAGCATCCCCATCACCTCCGCCGCCCGCGAATACGGCCCGACCGCCGGTATCAAGCCTCTGCGCGCCGCCGTCGCCCGGTTGTACAACGAACACTACCGTCAGGGCAAGGAGAGCCAGTACACCTGGGAGAACGTCTGCATTGTCCCCGGTGGTCGTGCTGGTTTGATCCGTATCGCTGCCATTCTGGGCAACTCTTACCTGTCTTTCCCCATTCCCGATTACTCCGCCTACTCGGAGATGTTGACCTTGTTCAAGAACGTAAGTGTTCGACCAGGGGTTCCGGCCTGTCAACAGCGATCCGCCAATGGCGTTCCTAGATTCTGACACATGTGCTATTTAGATCGCGCCTATTCCCATTCCTCTTGCCCAGGATGACCACTACCACATCCACCCCGATAAGATCGCCGAGGAGATCGCCCGTGGTACCTCCGTTCTCTTGACCTCCAACCCCCGTAACCCCACTGGTCACTTCGTTGACAACGAGGAGCTCGCTCGCATCCAAGACATCTGCAGAGATCGCGCAACACTGATCCTCGATGAGTTCTACGGTGGTTACAACTATACCACCGACTGTGACGGAACCACGATCAGCGGTGCTGAACACGTGGTGGACGTTAACCAAGATGGTTCGCTAGCTGACCCTTCCTGAGCTTTGAACATGCTCACTTTGTCTCTTTCGATGCTAACTATAACAGATGTGCTGCTGATTGATGGTCTCACCAAGCGTTTCCGTCTTCCGGGATGGCGTATCGCCTGGGTTGTTGGTCCCAAGGAGTTTGTGGATGCTCTGGGCTCTGCCGGTTCCTACCTGGATGGTGGTGCCAACGTGCCCTTCCAGGAGGCCGCCATTCCCATGCTTGAGCCCGAGCTGGTGCGAGCCGAGATGAAGGCGTTGCAAAGCCACTTCCGCGAGAAGAGAGACTTCGTTCTTCAGCGCCTGCACGAGATCGGCTTCCGCGTGAAGGATGTCCCGCAGGCCACCTTCTACATCTGGCTTGATCTCACCTCCCTGGAGCCTCCTCTTCCCAAGGAGGCTAACATTTCCGACGGATTGAACTTCTTCAATGCCCTGTTGACCGAGAAGGTCATTGTGGTTCCCGGTATCTTCTTCGACCTGAACCCCGCCAAGAGACGTGATCTCTTCGACAGTCCTTGCCACCACTTCGTTCGTCTGAGCTACGGCCCCAAGATGGATGTCCTGAAGATGGGTCTGGATGGTATCGAGCGGGTCATCCGCCGCGCTCGCGCTCAGTTCGAGCCCAAGCCGGAGGACGAGGTCGCGGTGGAGGATGATTGAGGGGCTTGCATAGATTTGGACCGTTCAGCGTTATGTGATTTGTAGAGCAATAGATTGCATGGGACGTAGATGAATATATACACATTGTTAATGCCGCCGTGTGCCCATGACCTGGAAAGTAGTGATGTTTGTGGTCCACCCTCGAATCACGTGATACTGACCTCCTTTACCCGGTCGAGCCCCCTTCCGGAATCCGCATCCCTGACACCCTCCATCCAGCTCGTGCCTGTAACTCGAGCGGCGCAGGGGCTGACGATGCGCGATATGATGTGTGCGCGATTATGGCCCTCAACCTCCAGCGCCTCCTTAACTTGACATTCTTTATCTTCCTTTCGGTGATCCTCTTTTCTCTGATCATCCTGACCCCCGCCGACGCCATCTACCAGTGCTACATCACCCGCCGCCTCACGAACATCTTTATCATCACGGGCGGCTACGTCGTCACATTCATTCTCGCCATCCTCATATATGCGACCCGTCTATATACCAACCGGACCGTTCTGTCCGGAATCCCCAAGGCCTGGATCCCCGTGGAGAAGGAAGATGTGGGCAAGAGCGTGCGACGACTGGTGAAAGAGGGCTTAGCCCACAGCGCGATCATCGCCTACCAAGCCCGACCGCGGGACCTGGCCGCCGACGGGGATGATTTCGCCAACTACGAGTCGCTGCTGATCGACCGCGACCACCCTCCCTGGGGTCCCATCGAACACCCTGGCTGGTCGTCTCCTTCCTGCGCGGATCTGCCGGACCTCCCGTACCGGACCGTGATCCAGGAACTGCCTCACCTGATCGAAGCGAAAGCCGTCTCCCTCGCTCCCCCGGACCCGATCTTCGCCGGGGTGCATCAGTCCCTTCGCGCCCCGTTCTCCGACGCCGACGAGTCGTTCCCTGATACCCGGGTGGTGGACGTCCTGCGGCGACCGGTCGCCATAGGCCTCCGCGAGTACCTGCAGCACCTGGCGTCGCTGGATGTCATCCAACCGCCGGAGGTGGGCGCGGCGTTCATCGCGCGCTACGAACGGGCGCGCTTCTCGTCGCGGGATCTCCACGAGAACGAGTTTCGGGAGCTGATGCGCGTCTTTGCGGAGCTGCTCCGGGGCATGACGGGGCTGAATCCGCGGGTGCTGGCCGAGCTGCAGGCGGAGGACGGGGCCAGCAGTCAGACGGAGAGCGAGTCCATCATCGGGCCCTCGGACGAGGAAGGCGAAACGGAGACCATCGACTCATTTCAGGACAGTGAGGGGATGTTGTCCCGCGGGCGCAGTAACAGCCTGCGGCCTTCGAATGCCTCGTCCTGGGATGCCCGGTCCGCCAGACAGCACGGGCGCTGGTCGCCTGTCTGGTCGCGACGGCCGAATACGCGCGGTCGGACCATGGAGCCGCCGCGGACGCCGTCGATGCGCTCGCTTCGGCGACTGCCGTCCAACAGCTCGGGTGGCAGCGTCATTCATTTGGTGGAAGCCCGGGGACCGTCGGATCTGCCGTATGCCTTTAATCTTGGGGGGCTCGAGGGGCAGCGTTGAACGCCTGTAGTGTTAATTCCGAGTTCCGAGCCCCTGCGAGTGGGGGGGGGGAGGGAGAAGCTAGTTTAGATTTGATAATTATATCCGAGGAGCAAAGCAATTCATTAGTTTCGTCACTCCCTGATTGGCCTTGTTCCGTCTTGCAGTCGGGTCATGGATGGGCTCCCCCACATCTTCCGAGCAGCTTCGGCTTATCGGGCCCAAGCCACGTGATGTCCACCAATCGGAGCATCGGCAAGCGAATCTTAGTCAATTATTCCATCATCCATGTTTGTGGCTTGGCAGAGTGATTGATAAGATCTGACGTTCCCCCTCCTTGATAGCTGTTAGAATTTCTGTCCCGCGCAGCAAACCAAAACTCCTTCCCTGCCCTTCCCACCAACAAACCCGAAACCATGCAGTCATTCATCCAACGGGGCGCCGCCTTCTTCACGCCGAGTCGCTCGGCCACCCCGGCCGACAGCCCCAAAGCCACCGGCGACGAGAATGCCGCCGAAGAAGAACTCAAGCCCGCTGAGACGCTATTCCCCAAGGTCGACCCGGCCGTGGACGGCGAGGACTGCCTGCACGACTGCGCCTCGTGCACGGTGAAGTACCCGGCCAAGTTCGACGTGGACCAGGAGGACAACATGTACGGGAACATCAGCGAGTGGGCGACGCACGTGCTGGTCGCGACGGGCAAGACGGACTGGGTGCGCGACGTGGCGGACGAGCCCGGGAGCGTGATGGAGGCGATCGAGAAGGGGGGGCTTGTTCCGAGCAATGGGGTGCGTATATCCTTTTCTTCAAACCAAAATCCAATTGCGCTGTCCCGGCACGCGACCCTCAAGAGCCCACGGCATCGCTAATTTGATCGGGGCATAGAAACTCAAACTCTCCGCCTCCAACATGCCCGTCCCGGACGAATACCACTACCACGAACCCGGCCAGCAACCCACCACCGTCCTCCTCCTGCCCAGCTTCACCATCATCGACCACGTCACGCCCGCCCTGGCGCCGGATCTGATTGAGCATTTCGTCAGCCGCGGCCCGACCACCACCACCCCGCTTGCCTCGCAGCCCACCCCCTCCGATATCTCCGAACTCACCCCCCTCCGCGCCCGCCCCTGCCCGCACTCCGCCATCATCCTCCTCTGCTCGCACCGCACCCGCGACGCCCGCTGCGGCCAGTCCGCCCCGCTGCTCCGCAAGGAATTCGAGCGCCACCTGCGCCACCTGAATCTGTACCGCGACCTGGACGACGAGCGGCCCGGCGGCGTGGGTATCTACTTCATCAACCACGTCGGCGGCCACAAGTACGCGGCGAATGTGATCATCTATCGGCGGCGCGAGTGGGGGTGGCATTTGGCCGGTGGCGACATCACGTCTTCTTCTTCTTCTGCTGATGCGGACGCGGACGCGGACACTGGTGCGGCGCAGGCTGGAGCATCAGTAGCAGCGGGAGCAGCAGCGGGAGCTGAGGGCGCCGCCCAGGGCATCTGGCTGGCGCGGGTCAGGCCGCAGGACTGCGAGAATATCATCCGGTATACGGTGCTGCAGGGGAAGGTGGTCAAGCCGGCGGAGCAGTTGCGGGGCGGGTTTGATCGGGGGACGGGGAAGACGAGTTGGTAGTAGGGGTTTTTTGTCTTTCTTTGGGGGGGGAGGGGGGGGGGG